GGTTACCATACCGGTTGCCGACAAGCCTTCTACGCCAACACCGGTAATGGACCCTCAACCGGTTTCCATACCGGTTGCCGACTCCTCCTCGAGTGCAGCCTCATCTTCAGCGACTGTTAACGCAGTGACACACGCCCAGGCCAGGAAGGCCCTGACGACTCCCCGCGACGCAGTGTCCCCTTTCGCCTCGTGGACGAATCGTGCCCTGATCAGTCCTGGCACCGCTAACGCGGTGTCTCCATCAGCGAACTACGCGCCAAAGCAACCGGCACATCCGGCTGATAACACCGCTGTCTCAGACTTCCTCCTCCAGCGCCAAGCAGTCACCCGATACGTCCGCGACGCGCTGCAGACGGCGGTCGACAAGCAGAAGGAAAACGCGGACAAGCGCGGCCGCAAACACACAGTAAAGTTCGCGACAGGAGATCGAGTGCTCCTGTCGACTTCAGGAATCAGAGACTCTGCCGTCATTAACCTCGGCGCGAGTAAACTCGCACCGCGCTTTATTGGGCCATTTACGGTGACTAAGGTTATTGGCGAGGCTTACACACTGGATATCCCCACGTCGCTGCGACTACATCCGACGTTCTACGTCGGACGACTCAAGCAATACCTGCCCGCTACGATTCCTTCTTCGACTCAGTCTCCTGAGCCGCCGGCGCATATAGCGGCCGCCCCGCCCGACGCGCGCGCCGAGCCATCGCGCCATTCACACCAGGCGCCTGCTCCACCGTCCCGCTCTGCAGACTACCATGTACCGCGCGCTCAAGAAGCCTCACGCGCGCCAAGAGTTCCCGATTCGACTGACGAGTCTCAGTCGCAGTCCTCACGGCCTTTGCAGCCGCGTTCTGGGCCTCCTCCGCCTTCTGATACGCCGTCCAGAAGCCCCCCGCGAGATCTTCCTCGCGGCTCCCAACCAGAACGTCAGTCGTATCAGCGGGACGGTCCCCCGCCGATTGTCGACTCAGCTGGCGAGATCCGCTGGATAGTCGAGAAGATTGTCGATCATAAAGACCCGCCCCGTCGGTCGGGGCAGCGCCATGTGTCCACCAGTCGCACGGCTCCCGCCGCGCGCCGCTATAGGGTACGATGGCTTGGCTTTCCGGCGGACCAAGATACGTGGGAGCCCCGCGCGAATCTTCTTCGCGATGTCCCGGATGTGATCCAAGAGTACGACTCCAGTCTTCCTGCGCCGGAGAGCGCCGCGAATAATCACGCGGCGGCCGAGAACGGGATCTCCAGTCTGCACGACCACGCGAGCGTGATCGAGAACGACGCTGCTGGCGATCGCGCGAGCGCGACCGAGAACGACGACCCGAGTTCTCGTAATCCCAACGGAGCAGCGGAGATGCGCTTCGTCAAGATGAGTGTCAGCGCGAGCCGGCGCGACTAGCGGCGCTGGCCTTTTCGGACAGCGAGCGACGGTAACGCTGGATCCAGGCATTCTCGCGATCACTGAGCGGGATGCTCGGCGACATGGGCTCTCCACTCGTCCGTAGTCGGGCGAGACGACACACACCTCCTGCAGCCTTCAGCAACTCGCACGTAGCAGATGCGGTCGTCGGCGTTCCAAGCGCTGTCGCAGATTCGTACGCGCAGCTCGCCCAAGGAATGACCCCGATGATTTTCTTCCCGGTATGCGATCCAAGTCGACGAGATTC